ACAACAACAACAACAACAACAACAACAACAACAACAACAACAACAACAACAACAACCACAGCAACCACAACAACAACACCAACACCAACACAACACCAACAACACCAACAACGACAACAACAACAACAACCACAACAACAACCGCAACAACCACAACAACCACAACAACAACCACAACCACAGCGACATCAACCACCACAACCACAACCACAACCACAACAACAACCACAACAACCACAACAACAACCAAAACAACCACAACAACCACAACAACAACAACAACAACCACAACCACAACAACAACCACAACCACAACCACAACAGCAACCACAACAGCAACAACAACAACAACCCGAACAACAACCCGAACAACAACAACAACAACAACCACAACAACAACAATTACTCTACAGCAACACACTTCCCCAAAAGCACCATATTTGACAAACAACTCAAGTCAGGTTCTTGGTTCTTAAATGATTTCAGTCCATACTGAACGACTTGAAGCAAAAGCACCAAGCTTTACTGTGATTTCACCTTTCAAATGGTGACCATTAATCACCTGGCTATGGGTCAAAACCTGGAGCCTGACCAGTCCACCTTTTGCCGCGAACGACCCACACCAGGTCGGTCAACCGGTTGGTCATGCTTTGTTTTTCTCGTGCTTTGACACGCTTCGCCACATGTGTGATTTCCGTTTTGATCGGCTTCATATGGTTTCATCCTACGGGGACCCGAAGACGCCAAACGTGGTCGACGTGGTCGTTCAGGGCGTCCCGAACCGCGACAGACTCGCTCTCGCCACAGGCGATGGCCACCTGACCGCTTTGGTCATCGGTCGAGTCAACCGGTCACGAGTGGTAGGGGCTGGTAGTGACGCAGTGGAGGAGCTACATATGTCATTATATATACGTATACATGGTATATAGTATATAGGTGGTTGCCTTAGGTTTCTTAGGTTCTTGTGATACAGGTGTGTATACATGTATAGTTGTAGGTACCTATACAGGGGGTCGAAGTAGTTGATATGTGGAGTTTGAAAGCATAGGTCTTCGAAGAAGGGACACCACATCGGTGATTCGGGGAGGGTGTCTGCGTTTGTTCTTTCCCATGTTTCGTAACATGAACTGCAATTGAATCAGTTTTATAGGAATTCACGAAGAATGACGAAGATATGCAAATACAAAACACATGCGGAACAAAAAGAACAACAAACTACACAAATTGCTACATGAATGCAAAACACTACACGAGTCAATACTTGAATGGCAATGGCTACGAAAGCACTGCACATCATCTGACCCTCTGGCATCCAAGTTCTGGCATCCCATTCCCCAAAAAGAACACATGCGCCCATCCCCCTTTTCAGTCATCAAGAGGATTATTAATACACTTCAATACCTTATGACGTTCCTGAGGTCAAATCAAACTGTCAGGTGGGGTCTCGTGGATGCCCACGTGTGGTGAGATCCAGCTGGCTTCGGCGAGATGTCTTCGCGCGCATCCAGTTGTGATTGGGTGACCCGCCTCTTTGTTGGGGCACTCTGCAAGCCCAACAACAACAACAACGGCGTGTTAAGTCTTCTTTGATGGATGTGTGACACCCATGCAAATCATGAAAACGGTGCGAATCCTCGGCACACGTGCTTTTCCAACAGACTCTGCTGCCTCGACCGAACTGTCTTGAGGTTGATTTTAAACGCTGGTGAAAGACCAACAATTCACCCCCAGAACACGGCTCTCTTTGGGTGTGGACCTTATTCTCCTTCTCCTGCCATTGACTTTACTTCAAGCTATCCCCACTCAACCAGGCCTATCCCAATTATGAACGTCTATGCAGTGGTTGTGCTGCTTGTGTTTGATATTGTCATTGTGTGTGATTGTGTTTTTGTCTGCGACATTCTTTGTTGTCTGTTGTTGAACTGAGTCAAGTGCTGTAGCAAATATCACGATACAGTGGATCGTCTACTCTAAAGTCCAGCAACACCAGCCCTTCTGTCGGGTGCAAGTATATCACATCTCAAAGGAGGAGGAAAATCCCAAGTCACCATCCCCACACTATATTCACTATCCTTGCCTAGCGACCCCAAAAGCGCCACAACACATAGGTTTTTGAGGGTCTGGACCCCTGCCATGGAGAGCGCGAGTGCGGGCCCGTTCGGATTCCTAGTGCGTTTTTCATGGACCAACAAAGGGGCGTTCCTCCTGATTTCTCACTTGAAGGAAGTTGAAGCTAAGACTTGACAGTCCAGTCACGCCTGCGAGCCCCAGGAAGCAATCTGCGAGGCCGAGGACAAAAGCCCAGTGGCGCTGGATCCACCTGGCGCGGCGTCGGTGGCTGCGTCATCGGCGTCGGTCGGGTCTGGGAATGGGACAGGGTGATGTTCCGGTGTTAGAGGTAGCCATGAGTATGCGGCCTTCAAGCATGTCTTGAATGAAACACATTTGTTTTGCTACCATTTGGGAGATAGTTCCTGGCCCTAAGAGCCTTTTTTGCAGGCATACGGCATAGTGTATACTTATGGCCCTTATGGCCCTTCCCATTGAGCTTGAAGGAGCTCCTTTAACAGTCTGCTGCATATATATATATATATTATATATATAGTGATATTTTTTTGGTCGGCTATGAGAGGGGGCTCTGGAAGATCAAGATTGCCAACGATCTCAAACCATGCATGTTGAAATGTTGTCATCTATAAAGTTCGAGCACTGCTTATTTAATTTGGTTCAAAGCTGCGGAGACCTGGAACGAAAATGTCAGGGTGAACCCTGCTGACCTGCATGCTTTCAATGTTCATGACTGAAGATTCATGAGTCATCAGCATCTGGAGAACACACGGGAGCTGCTCTCAGAAACTGTTTTTAACTCTCCCCATGTCATATCAACTGGGCTAAACCGCTTTTTTTTGGTGCTCACATGTGCGGTTCAACTGATCGTTTTGATCCACGTTCTTCAAGATGTTGCCGCCTCAGTGAGTTGAGCATAGTTTAGCACCCCCCCACTGTGAAGAAGGGGTCAAAGCCATACCCTCTTTTGTTGAACTCTGGAATCACACAACACACATGGCTCACGGACCATGACTTGCACCTCTTCGTATGCTTTTTGGCCAACTGAAGAAACATGTTAGAACTTTGAACTGCCACCACTGAAGTCAGGCACCAAAAAGGCATCAACAAGGTGTTCTCACGTTCAAAAATCGTTCGTGAGACCATGTGTTCGTTCACGTACGTCCGAAAACGCCAAGAGGTCTGAGAACGGATCACGCCGTCTTTCGAGGTCTGATCATCCAGAAAGGCCCTCAAAAAGAGGGTTGAAAAAGAATGGACCAACCAGCAGAGGTTGAAGACTTTTATAGCTATAGGTACCCCTGGTGACGGGTCCTATTTACGTTCACTTAAAGGAACATCCTGTAGAACGTTCACTCCAACGTCCATACCAGTCCCTAAGGCCCGTTTCCCACGTCCGTTCTGACGCCCCCCAAAAAGACACTGAGCTTTCCCACAAAGCGTGGGCAACTCTAAAATGTCGGGGCAATGGCTGATGAGCCTCGCTGCCAGATTCGGACCCACCCACCCTCAAATACATTCAAATACCCTGATGCCCATGCCCATGGTGAAGGGATGTGGAGGGTGTTGCAGGTGACAGGGAGGGGTTCTTGCAATCTGGCCCGCTCCATCGCCATCCAACCCGAATTTTCAAATGATCATCTGTTCTAAAATGGGCAACGTGTAGACTCACAGCCCTACTTCAGGGCGGCCCAAGTAAAGAATACTCTGCTTCCAAGGTGTTACTGTCAGATCTGTCAGGGATGCCTATGCCTGAGAGAGAAGCCACGATGCCCTAGAATGCCTAGACAGGAACTCATGCATCGCCGCAATGGCAAGTTGGCCTCCTTGAATCTCGGCACCTCCTTGAGAATCTCCCAAGCACTGGCGGTGAGTCTGGCCTAGAATAGAATCAACAGAAATGCTAGGTAATAGGAACCCTCCTTTTCTCATATACCTGGAAGCTTCAGCTCTTCAAAGCCCCCCCCCCTTCTCTCTGACGGTCTTTCACCGGCTCCCACGACCGGACCGTCCGCTCCGCTGAAACCCGAGGCTCTGCTGCACGAAGGTGGCGATCTGCGTGATCCACGCGATGGCGCCACTGATGTCCATGGCACAAGCAGCCTGGCACCAGCAGCCCGTTCGACTCGCGGAGATGAAGTTGGGGTGAGCTTGCTTGGGGGGGGGATTTCGGGTGTGGGGAACCTTTTTGGAGGGTGCATACCAGAGGGGCCCCTAAGGGATGCTACATGGACACCTTTCAACCTCCAAGGGACTATTAAATTTAAAAACAAAAACGTGTGGGGGCCTTGGTATGGGTACATCTTGTTAGTTGCACCAGGATGTGCAATGCGATCTTTAGGTCATTGGTTTTACTGTTCCTAAGCCACACCACCAGCTCATGTAGATCAAGCGTGCATAAATCTTCTGACACTCATGATGGATCTATGCATCCAACTACACTGTATCCGATTCAAAAACGAAGAACGTGGCAGAATCCACCCCAAAAAACCAAAGCAACTGACACTTTCCAACTACCTTCACACCTTCCCAAGGAACCACCACAACCAGCACGACCAGGCCCACTGTGCTGGCCTCAGGCACTCCTGTGAGGTAGTTGTAAGGTCCATAGCGCGTGTGCTTGGAACAGCTGGAGATGGACACCGCTTGCTGGATATAGAAGATGGTGTCCTCAGATTCCAGTGGATCGAGTCACATGAGAGAGTCAGACAGTGGATTGACAGTGGATCGAGTCACATGATCGAGAGTCATGAAACACATGTGTTGTATCATACAGGCTGGTCTTCTTTGAGGGCAATTCGAGGACTGCGCTGTAGTCCTGATTAAGCCGAACATGTGGTTGGTTTCCAAAATGTCTTTTCCCAAAATGGTGCACTCATCGCAATTCCATGGGGGCCTGCTTCTAAATCTCCTTTAAACTCCAACCACGCTCAAACCACAGGGATGTTCAATATGAAGGCATGTCAACTGCAAAAGTTGTGAGAGGTGTCTAGCGCGGACCTTTTCAGGGGCCTGTTGAGCTGCTGGAGCTGTTGTTGCTGCTGCTACTGCTGCTGCTAGACTTCTGCAGTTGTTTCCAATTCTCAGAAGTCTTCAAAACGACATAGGAAGGACGTAAGAGCTGACTCAAAACATTCAGGTGTTGGATGGGCAGATGGTCAAGAAATGGACCGTCGTCTAGCGCGGTGCTAGCGCGGATCTAGCGCCAGCCTAGCGCAAAAATCTCAATCGATTTCTTAATCCTGTCAGGTTCTTAGTTTTCCTGCTTGCTTGTCTTCTTCTTGTTGTGCATTCTTCTGCTTCTTCTTCTTCTTCTTCTTATTTGTTTTTCCTTTTTCTTGTGTTGTTTCTTCTTTTTCCTGCTCTCTGCTTGTTTCTTCTTTGCTTATCCTGTTATGAAGAAACCTAGCGCCAACCTAGCGCCAATCTAGCGCTGCCTTGCTGTATCACCATAGTCTGCTGGGGGCCCGCTTCTAAACGAAGACTTAAAACTCATCTCCAACCCTAAAAGTTTACGTTTATCTAAAATTTTTGAGTAGGGCTTTTTGAGTGCAGTCCATGTACCGCAGCCAAAGGTGGAAGAGGTGTCGTAGGGTGGGCAACCGCGAAAACAAACAACGCCGTCATGAGGTAATAATAGGAAATATGGGCATAGCCAGCAATTATATGGAAAGGCCACATTGATCTTCAGTGTTTTCAGTCACATCACAGGCTGATTTGGTTCTTACCCTACCAAAAATGAAAACCTCTATAAACAACTCGCATGTAAAGAAAGGGATCCGTAGACATTTGTGACAGAAAACAAGTGTGGATAACTTCATGTGGTGAACGTGAAACACTTTCTGAAACAACAAGTCTTAAGTCCAATAGTTATATATAACTATATATATATATGTTGGGAATCCCTCTTTTGGCCTCAGTTTAAACATGTGTATATAAACTACCTCCTGAACACTTGTGTTCAGTCAGTTCCTACCTCCTGAGGACGTAGTTGGAGTCCTACAACACAATCACACTGGACAGTGTAGAGTGCCTTCCCCATGTTTTTTTCAGTCCAAGCAGCATAGATATTGTCCACGATGAAGCCTCAGGCGGAAACAAGAGAACAAAAAGGGTCCAGTCCCAAGGATAACGAGGTGCAGAAGCGGTTGGACAGTTCATATGAGAGGTTTCATATGACAGGTTTGTTGTCCCCCATCCTTCGTGACAGTCTTTCGTTCTTCGGCCCTGGACCACCGTTTGACCCGAAACAAGTCCTGGCCAGCTCTCCATCATCTCCGCAGGCTGGTGCGGGAAAGAAACAAAACAAATCAGGAAAAACAAGTAACAACCCTATACTAAGCATCATTAGACCTAATTATGCGGGCTAAGGCTCATGATTCTGTGGATTGAACACAACCAAATCCACCAATTACCTTGTGGGGGGGACTCAGATATGGCTCAAGACCTTCCTCCTGTGTTCTCTGCTCTGGCGCCCCCTCCCCGATCGAGTGGCCGATGTCCACGCCGCACTCGACGCCGGTGCCCATGAGCCCAGCGCCCATGAACAAGCGGCGCTCCGGTGGGCCATGGTTGGCCACCTGAGAGATCCTGGCGGCGTCTTTGTTCGGTGAAAGGGTATGGAAACCTGGGATGCAAGGGAGTGAAGTGGGGAGGTGGAGTTTTTTTCGGAGTCCAACCAAGAAATTCATTGGAACAAAGAGCATGGAAGGGATGTGGTTCATGATGACTCATGTGCTTTGGGCTTTCATGTGTTTTCATGCATGGAAAACATGTTGCTTGCAGTATATATATATATATATATTATAACTAAATATATATATATATATATATGGAGGCACCCAATCTTTGGAGGGAACCAATTAGATTAGAATCCAGTCGTGATTCCTCTTTGACTCGGCACCTAGTTCACTGGTTCCTACCCGTGACCTATTCTGCTTGGAACCGCAAACTACCTACAAGAATCAATAATACAAGTAGCAGCACTACAGTATGTACAGTCAAAAATGAACTAGCAGCAGCAAAAGTAGAAGTAGAAGTAGAAGTAGAAGTAGAAGTAGTAGTAGTAGTAGTAGTAGTAGTAGTAGTAAGTAGTAGTAAGTAGTAGTAAGTAGTAGTAAGTAGTAGTAGGTAGTAGTAGGTAGTAAGTAGTAGTAAGTAGTAGTAGGTAGTAAGTAGTAGTAGTAGGTAGTAAGTAGTAGTAAGTAGTAGTAAGTAGTAGTAAGTAGTAGTAAGTAGTAGTAAGTAGTAGTAAGTAGTAGTAAGTAGTAGTAAGTAGTAGTAAGTAGTAGTAAGTAGTAGTAAGTAGTAGTAAGTAGTAGTAAGTAGTAGTAAGTAGTA